GCAGGGCGCTGGGCCACAGCCCAGGAGGCTGGAGGAGCCGGGCAGACAGCAGGTGGGGGGCGGGGAGGCAGGAGCCACTGGAAGATGGGGACACACAGTAGCAACAGTTTAGGGCACAGTGATGGGGTCACCTTAGTAAGTTGGGGGGCATGAGGTGAGACACCCTTTCACTGACCCACAGTGAGCTCCAAAGTAAAAATGAGGTGAGGCAGACAGAATGGCACCAGCAGGCCGAGGACCCTAGTGACCCAGGGGTGCCGACTTCCAGTCACCCCCCCTGGTGTCTGCACAGGGATGGGCTGGAAGGACCAAGACATTCACACACTTTAGGCCTTGTTCTGGTTCTTTACCGTCAGTCAGGAGTCCTAGCCTTCTGCTCCAAAACAATACCGGGAGGGCCAAGGATGCAGCTCAGTGGCATTGCATTTGCCTGGCAAGCACAAGGTCCTGAGTTTGATCCCCGGTATCAGCAAACAAAACAAAAAAAACCACGCACTGGAAAATCTCAGCCAAACTTAGGTGATGGGAGGAACCCAACCCTGAGAAATGATGTCCAGTCATGGTAAAGCCCTGAGTCCCTGGGAAAGGCAGCAGCCAAATCTGGGTCCCGGGCAGAGGTCAAAGGGCTGAGCCAGGAACCAAAGCTGACAAAAATCAGATATTAGGGCCATAGGTGGCCAGCTGAGTCTTTTGCCAGGTGAGGGTCTTTGGTGCAAGTGGTTTCACGGGAACACCTGTCAAACCAAGTCCTCTGAGAGAACACAAAGCCCACAGAATCCATGGCTTCTGTGCCCAGCTGAACTAAGCCCCTTCTTGGGGGTCCAGGTAACAGGCCTGAATGCACCCCTTCTGAGGACCAGCGTCAGCACCAGCTGCAGAGTCAAGGCCATCTCAGACGCTGATGGTGCGGAAGACAGTGAAGCCCGACAGGGCGGTGCTGACCAGGAGTCCAGGGCACTGCGGGTGCCAGTGCAGCTCCTTCAGGTCTGTCTCACCCTGGTGTACAAACAGCAGCTGCTGGGGCAGCTCCGCCAGCCCGGGGTCAGCCTCCACCTCACCCGCCTCAGGGTCCCGCTCCACCGCCAGGTCCCACTGTGTGATCTGGTTGTCTGCGCCCGAGGCTGCGAAGACCCCACTGTCCTGTGGGTGCCACTCGACGGAGGTCACGGGGGCCACATGTTGCTTGAAGGTGGCCACAGGGGAGCCAGACTGTGGGTGGGAGAGGGTGGGTGTCAGGGGCTCTAAATGCCCTCCTGGGTTCACGCAGGGATTTCCCGCTTAAGTCCCGTGCCCGCAGGAGGGACACAGAATAAAGGACAGCTGCTGGGAGCTGGGTTTTCATCTGCAAAGCCCTCATCAGCTCCAGATCACAGGAACTCTGACCCTTCCAGGATCCTGGGATCCTTTCAATAAAGGAGGGGGTTCTTCCAGCGCTCACCTGGCCGTTCTTTTTCCCTTTCCCCCCCCTTTAATACTGAGGATTAAACACAGGGCCTTCATACTGAGCTACATCTCAGCCCTTTTAAAGTCCTTTTAAGAAAGGGTCTCACTAGGTCACTATGTTGCTCGGGCTGGTTCAAACTTGTTATCTTCCTCTCTCAAGCCTCCCAGTGCTTGGGTTACAGGCATGTACCTCTGGGTGCTCCTGCCCTTTCTGTGTCTGTTTCTCCCCTTGCAACGAGTGAACTAGTCTCCAATTCTTAGCTGATGCTGTAAAAGTCACTAAAACACAAACTGCACCTCCCAGAAGCCCCTGAACCCAAGGTCTGTACAGTCAGCCGCATCTCTGCCCATGGGCTGATGGGAGTTGCAGTCCCTGCCGCCCCGAGCCTTTCCATTGCTTGTCAACCAGTCGCAGGGTGGAGTGAGGGACCTCACACTGCTCCTACACCCTCCTCTTGCTGAGCTCCAGAAAGGGGCTGGCTTTCTATTCCAGGAAAATACCTTGAACTGTCGCAGGTCCCAGACCTTGAGGACCCCATCATCCCCACCACTAAGCAGGAAGGGCTCCCGGCGGCTCCAGCTGATGACATTGACGTCCCCATGGTGGGCGGTGGCCGTAGTGAGCATGCAGGCCTTACCAGGAGCTGCCCGGATGTCCCATATGCGAATGGAGGCGTCAGCTGAGCAGGAGGCGAATACCTGGGCGACGCAGAGTGAGTCTGAGTGCTCAGGCGTCCCCACCCCAGGCTAGGATGAAGAACTGGTGGGAAGCTACCCTCTCCCCGGGGATCTCCGGACTCACACCTGGACTGCAAACTGCATCGCCACCAGGCCCCCAGTTCCAGCCCAGGATTCTAGGTCTCTAGGCCCCAGTCCTCCCTCACCGTGTCCTCAGTTGGGGACCACTGCAGGTCCTCCACAGAGCTTGTGTGGCCCACAAAGGGCCGCTGGTCCACATGCCACGAGCCACCGTCTGTAGGCATCCAGAGATGGATGTTCTTCTGACAGTCACCGGTTAGCAGGCGACCTGGGAAGGGAATTAAAAGATCTCACCCAATCTGGCCACAGCTCAACTCTCACTCAGGCTGTCCCACTCCTTCCCACCTCCCTGAACCATGGGCAGACCCCAGGGACTCACCTGGCACCCGAGGGGACCAGTCCAGGGCAAAGCCTTCGCCCATGTGGCCAGCAAAGGTGAAGATGGGCTTCACTCGGGCCTGCTCGTCCCGAAGGAAGACTGCCAGGGCCTGGGGGTCATCCACCACCTGCAGGAGCCTCCGCAATGTGAAAACCTCCACCTGGCCCTTCTCTGACCACACGGCCACGACAGGCTCCTCGCCTAGCCAGGACACCTGCAGGAGAAGGGTGTGTGAGAAAGAGGGAGAGGGAACTCAGGGTAGTTTCTTGGATACTCAGGGCTGGGCCACAGCTCCCAGAAACCTTTGTGGGGTAGAAATCACAACCTGCAAGACTAGCTGCTAAGTGGTTAACTCCCAACACTGGAGTGAGGCAGGCAGTGCGGGCGGGAGGACAAAGCTTTAAGATGCCTGGGAATGGAGACCACAAGTCTGGCCAGCTCTTGGGAGCGTGTTGATTTCTGATCTTTGCACCTGATGCTGAGAGGTCTCAGGGCTCAGTCCTCAGATCTGCCTGCCTTGGTATGTTTGTGCACTGGGAGACCCTATTCAGCCTTCTACTGCTCACTGCAGCCTCCTTCCCCAGAGAATTCTCTACCTCAGCCCCAAATATCATTCCTGATAGCTACTTCCTCCTCCTCCTCACACCCCAAATCTATACTGGCTACTCTAAAAAGCCCACATTTCCAGCTGGGTGTGGCAACGCGTGCCTGTGATTCTAGCTACTTGGGAGGCTGAAGGAGGAGGACCCCGAGTTTGAGGCCAACACGAGGAACTTAGTGAGGCCATGTCTAAAAGAAGTGAAAAGGGGAAGGTGCCTGGAGATGTACCTCAGTGGCGAAGTACATGCTTAACATGTGCAACGCAATGCGATGCCCTGGTTTCTATCTCCAGCACCACAAAGGAACCCCAAAGCACACCTCCAACAGTGCCACTGGTGTAATGGAATCACGCAAGATTCCCAAAGCACACCTCCAACCCTCTTGGTTTCCTCTACTACTGTCACTCATACCACCCCTGAATCACTGTAAGGGTCTGCTCCCAGGATCCCATCCCTTTGCCCTTTCCTGATGAAGCTGATTCTCTACACAGCAACAAGAGTGATTCTTTCTTGTTAGGGTTTTATTTTCTTTGGAATCAGCATCTTGATATGTACCCAGGTTGGCCTTGAACAGACCATGCTGGCCTCAAACTCGTGATCCTCCTGCCTCAGCCTCCTGAATGCTAGGATTACAGGGGTGTGCAACCATGCCTGGCAAGAAGGATCTCTTTAACTTTTTTTTTTTGGTACCAGGGATCAAACTCGGGACCTTGAGCTTATGAGGTAGTGGCGGCACCACTGAGCTAAATCCCTGGCAAGAGGAATCTCTTTAAATCAAACGCCAGGTCCTGTCTTTCTTGTGCTTTAAATTCTCTAGTGGGCCTCAATTTCTTCCCAATAAGTCTAAGTTTCTTCAATGGCCTACATGGCCATACACTGTCTCTTCTGTGCCCACTCTAAATCTCATCACTTTCTCCTTCTCATTTTGCTCCAGCATGCTCGTTTCTCAGCTTCCCTCAAAAACTCAAATATGCCAAGTTCAACCCCAGGCCTTTGCACTGTATTTTCCTTGCTTGCAAATTTGTTCCCACAGGAAGTCTTGGCTTACTCCTTCACTTCCTGTGGGTCTCTGTTCAAAGGGCACCTTCTCAGTTTGAGAGTGGTGGTGATCCATGCCTATAATCCCAGCTCTGGGGAAGCTGAAGCAGGAGGATCATGAGTTCAAGACCAGCCTGGGCCACATAGTGAATTCAAGGCCAACCTGAACTACAATGGTGAGACCCTGTTTCAAAAAAAGTGCGACTAGCCGGGGATTTAGCTCAGTGGTGCCACTGCCTGCCTCAAAAGTGCAAGGTCCGGAGTTCAACCCCTGCTACCAAAAAAAAAAAAAAAAAAAAAAAAAAAAAAAAC